ACCCATCCATTTGTCCATCCACCCACCCTTCTACTCACCCACCCATCCATTTGTCCATCCACCCACCCTTCTACTCACCCACCCATCCATTTGTCTATCCACCCACCTTGTACTCATGCATCCATCCATTTGTCCATCTACCCAGCCTTTTGCTCATCCATGCATCCATCCATGCATCCATCTACCCCATCCATCCATCCATCCATCCATCCCTTCCTCCCTCCCTCTTCTTATTCCAGAAAGCACTCCAGTTCCCTTCTCTGTCAAATAGAATAATAACTACTTTGCAAGTTCTGATGAGAGTTCCCTGAGATGACGGACATAAAGCGCCTGGTAAAATGCAGTTTCTAAACAAAGTGCACTTGCTGCCACTGTGTCATCACCTCCTGCCCGTCTCAGCAGTCAAACACCTGCCTGCTCATCCCCCATGGTGGAGAAGAAGTCGGGGTTCTCAGGCCTCCAGGGTGCCCTGCTGTTCTTGCTGGCAGAGGCTGTAGCTCCAGGGTCAAAGGGCTGGACACATGGCTTGGGCTCAGAGCCTGTGAAGAAAGGAGGGACAAGGTGTCAGGGCTAAGCTGGGAGGGCTGAGGAAGCCTGGACCTGAATCTGCATCTGTGGCTTTTAACCCAGGACCTCAGTTTTCTCACCTATAAAGTGGGTTGGTGGGAAAGGAGGAGGATGGTCCAAATGATCTTGAAGCCAACATACCTGCCCCCTCATCCCCATCCTGAGTCTACTGCAGACATTGCTAGTCAATCACAAGGCTCTTCCCTGCTTACCCCATCTCCAGCAGCCAACAATCACCAATTGATCCAAGTTGGCTCATGAGATGAAATCAATTTGTTATGCCTGATCTAGCAAAAACCCCTCATTTGATGGGCACAAAGACCAAATGTAAGTGCCCAGTGTCCACGATTGGAGGAGAGTCCCTAATGATGGAACTTCAAGCTACCTCTTTTTTTGGGGGGGGTAGGATGGGATGAGGAGCAGAGAGCAGGGAGTCATGCCACTCAAGGTCCAGAAGCCCCTGGACACCCCTCAGAGGGGAGAGGTAAGCCCCAAGACATTCACCCCTGAAGCAATGATAAATTCAGCCCACATCCTTCACCCCCAACCCTTCCATTGGATACATTTTGGGACTTGGAATTTTTCAGGTTTTAGAAAGGGCATGCAATGCTTATATCAGTGGAGTTGGGTGGTGAAGCATCCTGTACTCAAACACCCTAAATATTTGTGCAGTGAGATATATTAATATTCACACTAAATAGGAGAAATAGCAAGACACCAGTGAACATCAAGTCAGTTCAGCTTGGAGGTTGCCTCCAAACAAGCTTTTGATTTCTAGAGCTTGTTGGATTTTGGAATTGGGCACTCAGAATGAAGTCAAATGCTCCTACAACCCTTGTTATGGGCTGGGCACTGTTGTAGCCTAGTAATTCGGTTCAAGTTCTTGCGAGCCCTACAAGGCAGGCGGCACAGTCACTGTCCCAGGCTTCTCCCCATATCCTCATCTCTCTATTGAACTTTGAGTCCCAAAGGCACAGTATGGAGGAGAAAACAAGGACTTTGGGGTCAACAAGACTGTTCCTTCCAGGACCTGCCACTAATGGTTGAACAAGTTTGGGGAAGGCACCTCTCTGAGCCCCAGTGGGTATGACAGTGCTCACCTTTCAGGGCTTTGGTGAGGATGAAGGGGCCCATTGCGTGTTAAGCATTAGCCCCGGGTGCTTGGACAATGTTGGCCACCTTCCTTGTGTTCCAGGTCACATAGGGCACCCTGGCTTGATCTGGGGTCTTGGACTAAGCCCTTTTCTGCTGGAGGAATGGGCGTCCCCTACCCTATTCCCCAGCCCCTACATTGCAGTTAGAGTGTGTCACCCCCTGTCACCTGCAGGAGGGAGGTCGAGTCCTTGTTGTACCCCCGGATCTGCCTTCTGTGTCTTGCCCTTGTCTGCCGGCCCGCTCCCTGAGACCTCCTCGTTCCTGCCCTGACACTGCATGGTGACCTCATTCTGCTCCCTCCAAAAATCCCCTCTGCTCCCCAATACCTTCTACAGGCCCTGGTGCCTCTCCCAAGGGTACATTCCATTGCCTTGATACTGGACTCCCTTCACCCACTGTCTAATTTAACACATCTCAGGTTTTGCTGAAACCAGGGAGGATGGATGGATGGATGAACAGATGGGTGGATGAATAGAAGGATAGATGAATAGATAGAAGAATGGGTGGATGGATGGATAGATGAAAGGATGAATGGGTAGAAAGATGGGTGGATGGCCGGGCGTGGTGGCTCACGCCTGTAATCCTAGCACTCTGGGAGGCTGAGGCGGGCGGATTGCTCGAGGTCAGGAGTTTGAAACCAGCCTGAGCAAGAGCAAGACCCCGTCTCTACTATAAATAGAAAGAAATTAATTGGCCAACTAATATGTATAGAAAAAATTAGCCGGGCATGGTGGCACATGCTTGTAGTCCCAGCTACTTGGGAGGCTGAGGCAGGAGAATTGCTTGAGCCCAGGAGTTTGAGGTTGCTGTGAGCTAGGCTGACGCCACAGCACCCACTTTAGCCTGGGCAACAGAACGAGACTCTGTCTCAAAAAAAAAAAAAAAAGAAAGATGAATGGATGGATGGATGGAAGGATGGATGATAAATAGATGGATGGATCCACGGTCCCCAATGCCTGGGCTGGGCTGGTACTGGTCCATGGCCTGCTAGGGACCAGGCCACACAGCAGGCAGTGAGTGGCAGGCTAGCCAGCGAAGATTCATCTATATTTACAGCCACTCCCCAGCACTCACGTCACCGCCTGAGCTCCACCTCCTGTCAGATCGGCGGTGGCGTTAGATCCTCATAGGAGCGCGGACCCTACTGTAAACTGCGCATGCGAGGATCTGGGTTGCGGCTCGTTATGAGAATCTAATGCCCGATGATCCAAGGTGGAGCTGAGGCGGTGATGCTAGCGCTGGGGAGCGGCTGCAAATGCAGATCGTCGTTAACTGACTGCGCAATAAATGCAATGTGCTCGAATCATCCCAAAACCATTCCTTTATCCCAGTCCATAGAATAATTATCTTCCATGAAACAACTCCCTGGTGCGAAAAAGGTTGGGGATGGCTGGGATGGATGAATGGGAAGATGGGTGGGTAGAGGATGACTGGATAGATGGATGGATGGATGAGAAAATGGGTAGATGGATGGACGGATGGATGGATAGAAATATGGGTGGATAGAGGATGAATGGATGAAAAAATGGACGTATGGATAGAGAGAAGGGTGGGTGGATGGATGGATGGATGGATGGATGGATGGTTGAATGAATGGATGGATGGATGGATGGATGGATGGATGGATGGATGGATGGATGTATGGATGGAGAGATGGGTGGGTAGATGGATGGTTGAATGAATGGCTAGATGGATGGATGGATAGATGGGTGGATGGGTGGGTGGATGGATGGATGGATAGATGGGTGGATGGATGGATGGATGGATGGGTGGGTGGATGGATGGATGGATGGATGGGTGGGTGGATGGATGGATGGATGGATGGATGGATGGATGGAGAGATGGGTGGGTAGATGGATGGTTGAATGAATGATGGGTGGGTGGATGGATGGATGGATGGATGGGTGGGTGGATGGATGGATGGATGGATGGATGGATGGATGGATGGATGGGTGGATGGGTGGATGGATGTGTGGGTGGAAGGATGGATGGGTGAATGAATGAATGGACAGATGGACGGATGGAGAGTGCCTAGAGGTGAAGCCTGAGCAGGTGGGTGAAGGTGGCAGAGAGGGAATAGATTGGTGGTGGGGACACATGTAGGTACTTCTCAGCATGCTCATAGGAAGAGCAGTAACTGCTTGAGGTGGGGCAAAGATAGTGGTGGGCGTGGGATGGCAGACACCTTTGAAAAGTGCCACGTGAGGCCCCCATTCACTCTGTAGCTTGGGTTCCCCATGGCTGGGTGACCATGTGTCTCATTTTGCTACGCCAGGGTAACTACTGACCGTGCCCTGGGGTTTCGCTCTCCGAAGGGTGTGGGCTGGGAGACAGTTTGTAGCCACCCTGCCTGTACTATGGCTGCTAGCTGAGGGGGACGAGGGTGATGCTGCTGCCACCTATCCCAGGGTGGGGTGAGACGAGAGAGGGGAGCGGAGACCGGGCTGTCTGCACCCACGTCACGGTCCCTCTCCTCCCAACTGCACACGTACAGACATCGCCCCAAGTTTGGGGGGTCTGAAGTGCGTACGATTTGGGGGGCCTTCTTTAAGCAAAGGAACACGTCAGCTCCATTCGCTTCAAGGTCAATGCACGCCGGATGCCACCTTGTATCAACAGGTGAGCAGCTGGGCGGTGCCACGGCGACGCCAGGGTTCCTGCCATCACCGTCTTCCCGCTGCCCTCCCAGGCTGGCTGGGGTCATGCTGCCCTTGCTAAGCCTTGTGTCTCTTCTCTTCCACAGCCTGAAGCCAAGGCATCGTCTATGACTCAGGGACACCAGGGAACAAAACAAGCCGGCTGTGAAGGAGGAGGAAAAGCAGACGAGGGGCGGGCCCTGGAGGCTGGGGGGAGCTTAGGAGGAGAGAGGCAGTCCCCTCCCTCCGGCCCGGCAAGTCCCTGGGGCCACAGGAGAGGCTCGCAGAATCTGTCTGCTCCACCGGGCAGGACCCCTGCGGAGGTCTGAAGCTTCTCCCGGCCTGCAGAGAGCAAAGGCAGAGTCTCACGCACTGTCGCCCGTGAGCCCTAACCCTGAGATCTGAAGGTTAAAGGTGAAAAGCCAGGGCTGAATTGAGTTGTTTTATTTATTTATTTTTTTGAGACAGAGTCTCATTTTGTTGCCCAGGCTAGAGTGAGTGCCGTGGCATCAGCCAAGCTCACAGCAACCTCAAACTCCTGGGCTCAAGCGATCCTCCTGCCTCGGCCTCCCGAGTAGCTGGGACTACAGGCATGCGCCACCATGCCCGGCTCATTTTTTTGTATATATATTTTTAGTTGGTCAATTAATTTCTTTCTATTTTTAGTAGAGACTCAGTCTCGCTCAGGCTGGTTTCGAACTCCTGAGGTTAAGCAATCCGCCCACCTCGGCCTCCCAGAGTGCTAGGATTACAGGGGTGAGCCACCGCGCCCGGCCTGAATTGAGTTTTTATATGGGGCGAGCTTCTGAGCCAGGAATAGGCTGAGCTTGAACTGATGACAGACTCAACTCGGATCCCGGTTTTACAGATTGGGCCCCAATCTTTGTGTCGCAGACACAGAGCCCTGCCCTGGTGTCACAGGCTGAGCCTCATCCCCTGGGCATAGGTTGAGCCTCACCCTGCTGTCACAGACTAAGCCTTCGTCCTGGTGTCAGATGCTGAGCCCCGATCCCAGTGTCCCAGGCCGAGCTCCCACTTTTATGCCGCAGGCTGAGCCTCAATCCTGGTGTTATAGACTGAGCTCCCATCCTAGTTCCACAAGCTGAACCTCAACTCTGATCACACACTGACCCCGACCCTGGTCACAGACTGAGTCCCCGATCCTGATGTCACACATGAGC